TCTCGGCCTGGCCGAGACTGCGCCGACGCACGTGCTAACACGGTTCCGCGGCCTCTGTTCGAACTTGCCTTTTTTGGCGCTATTGCTTTCGCGAGACTTGTAGACTTTTCGCCGTTTCCGATGACTTGCCCGTGGTGTTGAGCTTCTGTACACATCCGCGCGAGCATGATTGTCGTGCGTGTGTTTGACGCGATGCAGCGATCTGACCGACGCGCACGGGAAACCGACACCGCGCTTGTTGACGCGACGTGCGCGAGTGACCCGAGCGGCGTCCGGAGCTGATTGACGGCTGAGTGTGTTTGACGGCGACCGCGGGCAGAGCTGATTGACGCGCGCGAGCTGACCTACGCACGCGAGATGATTGACGCACGCGTGTTGACCGATGCGCGCGTTCGGACTATTGGAGGTGGCTGGTGAGCGCACGATACACGGTTGGTTCGTCATTTCGGCTCATGCACTTGTCTGCGTCAAATAATCCTCCTAGACTCGGATAACGACGTTCGTCATCTTCTCTCCGTCTCGAGCTGTGTGCGGACACCTATAGGTATTTTTAGATGCCTACAGTTACCTCATGGTGACCTGCGCGCGCGGGTCACCGCGGTCTGTCTCGCGCCCAGAACTGCCAAAACGCGTTTTTGACGGTTTTCTCAGGATTTATCTGTTCCAGGGGTTCCCAACTGATTTGATATTATCCACAAACGTGGTTAGGCTATTATTGACTGAAGATAAGGTCAAATCACTCATTCTTATCCAAATATCCCTAACAGAAGCATATAAATACAGGCCTAGGGGCTCATTTCACGGGGCAGACATCAAGAGGGCGAAGCTCTGCCGAATTGGAGAGTGGAGCCACGAATTTACAGTGAGGGTTAGCAGATCTTGGCGAATTCCCATGCATAAAGAGTAGAGTTCGAGAGATCAGAGACTCATCCGCTATTCCTCTGGATTTAAGCTTAGTCTTAAATCTCGAGAAGAGCCGTGATCTCGCTTGGTCGGGATCATCGCTGCAGCGATTACTTCCTTCGTGAAGTAAGAGCTTTGATCAACTTAATCTGTCGACCGGATCTGATCAGTGGTGGTCCACGGATATTAACGTCCCCGGCACAGGCGAAGTTCCCACGCAAGCAGCGGGTGATAAACGTGGTGGTCCACGGATATTAACGTCCCCGGCACAGGCGAAGTTCCCACGCAAGCAGCGGGTGATAAACGTCCGTTACGCTGTTTGACAAGAGTTGTACTTTTTGTATTTTCATTGTATAAGTAGATCTTATAAAAAGATCGATTTTTCTCGTTTATTTGAGTTTCTTGTAACGACCAAAGTTGTAATAGATTCGATGACAATAAAAACAGCGACTTTTGACCCAAACACCAATAACCCCCAACAAACTATTCGTTTGTTCATATCGTACGTCTCTTTTAATGCTTTTGGAAATATGGACCTTAGCCCAATTAATTGACGGATAGCATCATTTAACTACCTGTTAACAAGTAGAGTTCGATTACGTAGATAATAGATTTTTATTACCAGAATTATTTTGGTATATAAATGTAAAATTAGATATGTTTTATAGAAGATATTTGCTATTCGTATTGTTTGAGAGGTGTAAGCAAAGAAATACTAGAAACTTGAACATATATACAGAAAAGCCATTATAAGCCAAGAACAAAGGATGAGAAATGAGCGAGTCCTGCAAGCTTATCACGCACGCAAAATATATCTTCTTTTTTCTGCCCCCCCGCCCCCCCCATCCCCCCCTCCAAACTTAACATTTATTTAGTGGAAGACATTGCATTGAAACTTACATTTATTTAGTTGGAAGACATTGATTGAGAGTGAAGAAATTGATCAGTGTTGTGGGCTTGTGAGTGAACGCAATAGCATATACGTCGGCTAATCACGTGCAAATACAAAATAATATCATGGATCGAGGATGTAGCATATTATTCAGGATCACGCTCCTTAGCGTCCCGTCCCGTCCCTTTCCGATTAGCCAGCAACCACCCATTGGGTCGGCCGGTTGGATATGTTCGAGTGTTAGGTTTAATTAGAAAGAATTTCAACCACCCACTAGATAATCAACGGTTAATTTTAAAAATATTGATCTCTCCGTCGAAATCTATATAACTACAAAACTACAAAGGAAAACCTAGGACGGCGGACTTGCCCACTGACATGTGACTCACAAAAATTTGTACGGTATCGAACTATTTTTTTTTTAAAAGTTAAAAAAGGAGGGCCTTAACTATAATTAATCTTTTGGGAAAACCCTTCGCTTAGCTTAATCTTAACCTGGTTAAGACTTTAACAGGATTGGTGTGAAGCTATCAAACACACCCTACGTCTGGCTATTAATAATCAACAAACAAAAGAGATGCTGATAAAAATAAATCAGTATAAATAATAGATAAATTAAATTAGTGGGATGGCCAAAATTAAAACCACATTGAAACTCTCCCTTGTATTTCGTAGGGCTAGCGGGCCGACTACGTGATTCCTTTTTACCCCCAGTATTTGGGCCGACAACACCTTTCGTCAGCAAACTACGTTGCACTCAGGTCTGGCCCGCTTGTTGGGATAAACTAGGCCTACTTCGGCCTCATTCTGCTCAACTTCTTAGTCCACAATTATAACGGGCCCAGTCTAATTCTTGGCCCAAAAATACATCCGACGCTGACGCACGACATTGTTGAGTCATTTGCCAATTGGGACTACAGAGATAATGCAGATTGCGAATGTGACCATCCTCTCCAATTTAGGAGAAAAAGATTTCAAGGGCTTCAAAGTTAAAAAAACAAGATAAAGTTTGGGGTATTTTCGGGCAAAAAATAAATTTGGATATCATAACCAAAAATGCAGTAAACTTTAATGAGTATTTAGGTGCAAATAACCCTCTTATATATTATTCAATTTACGACTTTGTCTTGTGCTACACTATTTGCAAGAAGAATTCAGAAACCCAAACTTATTGGTGGGAATGACAATTTCAATAGCATTCGGGGTTTAAGTGCAAAACCCCCCAAACCTGTAGGGGGGTTTCAAGGAAAATTTTCCCAAAAATTTTAAGTTTAGAGCGCCAAATTAAATATGGTCGAACCTTTTGGGTATTTCTTGGTCAAACAAAATTGTGGGGTTATCAAAATTAAATTTTATTAAATACTTTAAGGTCCTCTTGATTTTTAAAAAAAACTCTAGGATATCAAAAATATAAATGAGGTGATCTTTCCGCCTATCGGGAATGTTAAGTATAAATGATCCCATATAAAGAAGGTATTTGAACGGTGAGAGGGGGCTGAAATCATGTTTATATCTATGGTTTTTGTCATACTAAGCCCAAAAATTTATGCTATTTTCATATTAGGCTTCCAATCTTCATAGTTGTAAGTTAAACTGTTGAATCTTCTAATTTGTTTTAAATGGCACCTCGGTACTTGTCGTTTGCACCCCTAAATTTGTTAAGCCGTTTCAAGTAACATCTTGCCGAGAGTTAAATGTGACATACCTGCTCAGAACAAAATCAGAGTCTCTCAACTGATAACCAAATGAGCCTCTGAATCCCAAATGTGCAATCAGATCAAATCTCACATCCTCGATGTGACCAAATGCTAGGTAACCAAACATCCGACGTAACCCAAAATCTAAAGCAGCTCCACCAGATCCAAAATCTTCACACGCAGCAGTCGACAACCTATGACTAAGATGACCCCAAACACTACAAGAAATTACATCTTTAACGAAGGGATTTCCCTTCGTTAAAGAGCCAAAAACCTTCGTTATTATATGCTAACGACAGGGGAAATCCCTTCATCACCCGTCGTTGAAGCCCTCTTCGCTAAAGGGTCACGAAGGGATATACTACCCATCGTTATAGAGTCTATAACGACGGAACATATTACCGTCGTTAATATTTACGACGGTAATTATCACCATCGTTACCATCAGTGACGGGGATATTTTCTATATTACCGTCGTTAATATTTACGACGGTAATTATCACCATCGTTACCATCAGTGACGGGGATATTTTCTCATCGTTACCATCAATGACGGGATATTTTCCCGTCGTTACCATTAGTTACGGGGATATTTTCCCATCGTTACCATTAGTTACGGGGATATTTTCTCATCGTTGAAGACTAATTAATGACGGTTGGATACCGTCGTAAAAGTCCTCATAATGGGTAATTAATAACCCATTAACGATGGTGCTTTCCCTTCGTTGATGAACAAAATACGGTTTATAAAACCGTCATTGTAGACTACAAATTTCTAATATACATTAATAATAATTTTTCTATTCATAGGCAACTATCATATTATTCTCAACTTGACACTAAGATTCACAACACAAATATATTAAAAATACCCAATAATGAATAAAAGGGAAAATAAAAATTTCATTCATTAATAACATCAATAAATAAAATTCCACCATCCTCAAATATTCAATACTAATAACAAGAGTTAATATCCTAATTGTTCCAAAGAAAAATATATGAAACTATCTATAACAAATTAAAATAAAAGTTTGGGGAAGACACATTCTTTCATCTCTAAGCATCGTCAGAAGAAGACTCGAGCTACCCCACTTCTTCTAATCTTGCATGGATAGCCTAAAAATTAAAAAAACACATAATTAAGAAATATTAATTAAGCAAATATTATCTTATTAAGTAAAATTCATATTTTTTTAGTGCAAGTAGTTAATCATAAAAGTATATAAGAGATTTTACAAAAAATAATTACCTAGTGCTGAACATGTTCTCGAGTTTGAGGAGTCAATGAAGGTGATTTCCTAAAAAAAAGTTCTTGCATAGCTTTCACTTGTGACTCCAACTCAGACATCCTTTGTTGTTGTTGTTCCTGCTCATCTAAACGTTGTTGAAGCATCTGGTTCTTTTTCTTTTCTTCTATAATCCATGCTTCCAGATCAGATCGACTAGGGAGCAGTCCTCTCAAATCTTTCAAAGTTGTCCCACCACCAAATACAATAATATGACCATGAGATTGCTTCCCCCAGATTTTCTCAACTATCTCAATATCTGAAAGTGAAGGGTTCGCTTGTTTGACTTGAACAATTTCATCCTATAAAAATTAAATTCATATGTTAGTACTATATAATGCATCAATCCTATAAAAATTAAATTCATATGTTAGTACTATATAATGCATCATTATCAAACTTAAACACATATTCTACTTACATATTTATCTTGATCCCCAATATCTAGTGTTGCATTAGCTTTCTTTCGAGTTTCATCATGAAACATTTTATAAAAATCACAGCAGTATGCACATCCTTGAGCTTTTAAACATTCAATATTTTAGCCCCCGCAATTCCGCATGTGTTATGCTTAATCTAATTTTCAACTTTATAACATCTATAGGCTTTTGTGCCTTGTAAAGAAAATAACATCTTATAAAAGAACACACAAAGGTATACACGTTTGATCTTTTAAATGTCCAATGTTTTAGTCTCAGCAAGTCCGCACGGGTTATGCTTAATGTAAGCCATGCTTCACACACTTACCAGAAAATTGCGCTAGGTAGCTGACAGGATAATGTTAAACAACATTAAGAGCTACAGAAGTTGCTAGGATGTGTTCAAAGTGCCTAATAAGTTACACTGTATGGTTAATTCATAAAAATTTGTAAGGCACATGCCGCACATCAATTTCCATAAGATACTAAAGATATTGAATAAAGAAACCTAATGAGAAAAATACACATAAACAACAACAGTTGGTAGGATGTGTTCAAAGGGCCTAAAGTTACACTGTATGGTTTAATTCATTAAAATTTTGGAATACACTTCAACATCCATGAGTCCCTAAAGAAATTTAAAGAGGAAAAAAATATGTACTAAAGTAATTAAAGTTCTACATGTCAAATGATCTACACCTCAATATAAACATTTAACAAGCTGATATAATTCCTTCATAGACTGAAAAATTAAAATACCGACGGCTTACAATTAGAGTAGCTGAGCAGCAAAATGCAGTACCAGTGGTGTTTGTAGCAGCATACTCTGGTACTCAGCTTCAAGAAAATGGCGCTGCTCTGCTGCCATAGCAAGTGTCCGAGGAACACACAAGTCCAATGGAGTACCAGTGATGGTCCAACCTCCACTGCGAATATACAAAAAGAATAATTGAATCTTATAATCATATTATTAGACAAGAGAAAACATTGCCCAAATCACATATTAACTGAAAAGATAAGACAAGCAAGTATACAGACATACCTAATATCAATTGTAGTCTCATATGGGTTAGGTCGAGGAGGTGCAGTATAATCTGGCTTGTATGGCTGAAAATCATGAAATTAATAACTGGTTATAATCAATTCCAATTTTAGCAATATCCTTGCACAGTGTATCGACTTAAAAATATTAACAGCAAAAAATTTAATAAGAACCAGAATTAGAACTCACCTCAAGGCAAATCTCACACATTATGTCTCCTTTTTCATTGCACCAACGCTGCACACATGCCCTATGAGCATACTGTAGATACCAAATTTGTTAACATCAATATCCACAACAAAATAATAATGGACCAATAAGATACATCTTTAGGCAGAAACTAAATACATGACATATATAATATAAATGGAAACCATGATCTTACAGTACATCCAACCATAGAAAACCCAGATTTCTACTTTACAAAACAGGTTTCATCAGATAAAATGTTCGCTACACGAACTGTTGGGGCTCTCCTCTTCTTTGCTGAATATCCCAGTTCTGCAAGCTTTCAATTGACCATAAGAAAGGTTGATAAATTAAGAGAATGTACTATAATGCAAGGAAAGAAAACATACTTTTACTTCATTATATAGCCAAAATCACTCACTATATGCAATTGACTTGACATAGAGGGGAAAAATTAACCTCCTTTTCGTCTGTTTTATCAACCATAATGCAGTCAAATTGATTCACAATATTTATTCTTTTAAATAGAAATCTTTCAAGATAATCTAGGTATAGATGTGTTTTCTTTCCATAAGAATGTGAAGTATATCGGATCCAAAACTAAAACGCATCACACGATTAATTAATGACAAGGTTAAAATGTGGGTGAATGTTGTTATTTTCAATCCTTTACCCAAGTCAATGTGATTTCACCCCATTATTGTCAAATTATTGATTTAAAGTTTTAGTACCCTCTTACTTACAAATAATTACAAAACAAGTACAGCTGTATCTAGTAGAAAAAACTGCGAACCTGGCAGAAATCGATCATTTGGTTGATTCGTAACAACTTGCTGATCTTTGAGAAAAGAGGAGTCATTTCCACTAGAAGGAGAGGTTTCTTCTTCTTTCTCCTTGTTTGTTGGAAAAATTGTAAAGAAGAGAATAAAGAAAATTGATTTGTATTCCTTTGATCTCGGTTAC